AGTTCAATCCTTGAGGGGGCCATTTAGGGATCTGAAGCAAAATCAGTATTGGTCCTGCTAGTGAACGCAGGGGGCTGGACTTGATGACCTTCTAGCTCTATGAGATAGGTATATCTCCATATTATCCTTTCATCGGGTAAACTGGAGGTGTGCCAATTTATACAGCAGTAGAGAATTTAGATCAAAAATTTGGCCCACTTCCCTCCTCACTTTCACTGATGTAAATCAAAAGTAACTTAATAGTGAGGCCACTTCTTCAGCTGAGGTTCTCAGCTGGCAGCTCAGCGAACAAGCGTGTGAGGGAACTACCAGACTTGCTATATTAATAGGACTGTGGGCATTATACAAAGTTACCGTGACTGGTCGAAGTGTTGGGGCTGGTGAGTTTGCACTTATGAAATGAGATGACCTGCTCTGAGTCTGAAAGAGAGGTGACCGCCATCATCTGGAGCAGATGTAGAATGCTAAACCTCCAGAAGTATTATCTGTTAGTTTTGGGCTGAATTCCCTACAGTGGCAAAGACTCCCATGCTCTTCCAGGAGTTTTTGCCTGGGTAAGGACTACAAGGTGTGACACTCTATGAATTCTTTATTCCATTCATCTGCAGAGGACTCAAATGCCTGTGTTTCGTGAGTCTTTTTGTCGTGTCCATTTGGTTATTTTCCTGTGTTTCACAGGGGAGACATTTTCAGGGATTGCCTATTAAATTGCCCCTGCAAAAATGCCTCCCACAGTTACGCTGGCTTGCCTGTCTGTTAGGCGCAATCTGGCCCGTTATGGGTTATATAGCGCTGTAACTCAAAGACTGCATCTGGGCACTGTACAGCAGCGTTGGTTATTAAAACATACAGAAATGAAGAGAGTGGAAAAGCTCCTGTTCTTCATAAAATTCCTACCCACACCAATGTATTAAACCAATCAAGACAACAATAAACAAAACCAAACAGCCAAACTAAATGTTCAGCCAAAAGCCCGTATCTTTGTTGCATTATATGAAACTCCTCAAATTCCAGCTCTGAGGGATCAAGTTTCAGAAGATCAAGTTTTGCAACAGATAATGCTTTGCTACCAATCTCATCAAGCGAGGTCCCAGAGACAGACAGAGGTTTTGTCCCAGCAGACCTCAAATATCATCATGGAACATAGGGGAAGGGAGTGACTTTTTGAAATATCTGGAGTAAGATAGTGGGAAATGGATCCCAGTACATGGAGCAAGGGATTATACCAGTCCATAAATACAATTCAGTGATTATATTTTAATCCATGCACTGATTAGGGGTCCCAAAAATCTACAGGGAATGTTGCAAGTCCACATAATGCTCCTGAGGGCTAGATATAGCAATTGGATGATAGGACTCTATCATCACCAATGCAAAATCCATCCTACCAGAGACTTAAGTTTAGCAGTGTCAAATTGCTGAATACTTTCTAATATATCAAAGTTTGCTCTTCCAATAAGGAAACAGAAACAATCCCATGCGACTTGTGTCCAATCACACAGCTCACAGAACAAATTCCAAATATCAAATAAATGATTGCAGCAAAAAGCGTGCAAGGAATCCATAGGTTGAAACATGTCTGCACAAAGTAGCAAACAAATGGGGTTGGTTCATAGATATCATGATCTGTTTAGGTGGACAGGAGAGAGGGCCAAACTGAATGGATTAGTGGCTTGAAGTGAATAATTCAACCAGCTCTGAATGTAAATGAAAGCAGGATTTTCCCATTCTTAATACCTGGATCCCTGTCTCCCATTCCTCCATCAAGTGAGGAAGAATCTATCCCTGGTCCAATGGGTAATGACTCTTGGTTATTATTATAGTCTTTCTTCTGCCATGAACTCTTCTTGTCTTGCATCTGAAGAAGTGAGGTTCTTACCCACGAAAGCTTATGCTCCCAATACTTCTGTTAGTCTCAAAGGTGCCACAGGACCCTCTGTTACTTTTTACAGATTCAGACTAACACGACTACCCCTCTGATACTCTTCTTCTCTTGTGTACCTTCCTGCATTCAACAATCGCTTGAGCTCCAAAAGTAAGTCCCTCAGTTAGCAGGACTCTATCATCACCAATGCAAAATCCATCCTACCAGATACTTAAGACCCAAGAAGTAACCTAGTCTTAACGTATACAACAGCCCATTGTTTATGCAATTGCTGTACACCCTTCTTGCCCTTCATGTTTGTGTCTTGCCAATACATCACATTCATGAGAAAATCAGTAATCTATGAACCTTAGTTTACTGATGTAATTTGCAAGCTACAGTTAAATCTGGTTTACTGAGGTTCTATGTGTAAGAATGAACAGAGCAAACTTCCTTTAAAAATCTCTCCAAGCAGCCTCTGGACTTGTTTTGTGAAATATCTGTTACATTAGATACATGCCTTTCGAGAGTTAAAAATCTTTATCCAGCATGTGTTTAAATACTTTCTACTAAGCATGTGCTGCCCCACTGGAGCTGGCATCTCCTTTCATGAAGGGTCATCAGTCTAAACTCATCAATCTGACACTCTCTGTTGAAAAACCCATCACCATCTCCCATTAGATAGTAAAAGTCATCAGTGCTGCTCTTTGAAAATTAAGGAACAGTTTCTCATCTGTCAATCTGGACAGGAGACAGAATAATTTGGCTTCCATTTATATGCTAAATTATTACAAAGATAATAGCGGGGTGGGGGAAAAAAAACAAAAACTGCATGATCGTTTAGGTGGCGAAATGGGTTGCATTTAGAATTCACGATAAAAATGTAGATAAGCATGTGATTTGTTCTAAAATTAAAACACATACAGCCCAATCTTGTACCCTGCCAACTCAGTGGGTGTTTTGTCATTGACTCTGAAGGGAACAGGATCAGACCTTTAAATGTTTGGGGATGTAAATGCTTAATCGGAACAATACCAAAATGAAACAGGAAGGAGCTGGCTATGTGAGAATGTTTTCTCAGCTAATGTAGTACAATGAAGCGACGGGGTGTTTGCAGAATTAGTATAATTATGTTAATTGAGTCCATACCATCTCAGCAGTTCACCTTTTGAATCTGAATTGCAGTGGAAATGTCTGAATTTATTTCCTACTCCCCAAAACAAGGTCTTTTAGACTGAATAGCCTCACATTTTATAGAGTAAAAGAGAGCTCGCAACAATTAAAGGCAGCCAAGACTGCCCGGGTGTCAAAGAACTCATTATCCATCTGGGATCATCTATTGATTGTGAAGGTGAGGCAAACTTGGTTCTTTGCCCCCTGAATGTAGACGTGGAGAGTAATTTTTAAGTACTTGTGCTATTTAGTGGAGGCTGGTTGCACACCAAGAGTGCTAATTCTGGTCACAGTGAAGAAAAGAGCAGCCATTGGGAACAGCAAAATAATACCACTTTCTTAATAACTTTATGGAAAGGAACAGTATGAAGGCCAGATTCAGGATGATCCTTAAGCATGGTCATAACTCAAAGCCTGTGAGTATCCCCATTGACCTCATTGGGACCAATGTTTTTCAAGTGAAGCATGTCTGGGTATTTGATTAGTTGGGACCTAAGCGTGTCATCCGGCACCTGTTGAAGTCAGTGGTAAAGGACCAGGCAGAAAATTGGCAACACTGAGAATTTAGGATCCATAAATGTCCTTAGTACAGCTGGGTGACAATTTTGACATTTTTTAATGAAGAAAAGAGATAAATTGTTCACAACACTTTTTCCCATTTATCAACCCATTCTACTCATTAGGTACCTGTGCTCAAGGGACATTCCTGAGCATTGTCCTAGGACATTGGTCAAAATAAACCCACAAAGAGCCAATCTCTGCTACCATGTTACCAGGAACTTTATTAGAATAAGACAAATAGTCCTATCCCTAAAGCCATTGTGTCTGGCTGTGTCACTGTAGAATTTCTGCGAGAACCAACCCCAGCTGCCCTCCTGCTATGGGTAAAAAGAAATTGCAGAGTTATCTTCATCGTCATCTGAATGTCAGAAACAATAACATTAGGAAAAGAGGCTGCCTGTACATAGAACTGGAAGCTTCGTCTCTCCGCATTGCCTGATATTTGCAGTGTGCTTACCACGTCCTTCCAGGTACTGAGAGCCCTCCCATTGCTGTGGCATCTGCTACGTTATTTCCATACAGTGTTATGCTTAAGTTTTCTCAGAATATTATCCTAAACTCTGCTGGACTCCTGTGCAACATGAGGTGGGGCTGTGGGGACAATGAATTGCCAGTGACGTTGGATTTTGTCCAGCTGTTATAACATATCGTGTGCTTTTTGCTCCATAGACTGGTGCTGTGAATGCTAATCCCAGAAGTGCTACAGTGGCCTGACAGTTGAGAGTGGCGGTGAGCACCTGTTCAGGATTGCTGGGTACTCTCAACCACATTGGCTTCAATGGGAGTTAAAGATACGTTAAACCTCACAGGTTTGGGTATGTTTCATGCACCCAGTCCTGAATTCCGACCTAAAAGCCTATCCAACGCCCAGTGAAGGACTTCCATTGACTTCCGTGGACTTTAGATCAGGCCTTAAATTCTGAATACTCAGGAAGATCTCCGGTTGACATCTATGGGTGTTCTGCGGGAGTAAGGGAATGGCTCAACATATGGGGGGTGTGTGTGTATATACTTCACAGCCTATATGATTATCGCCTATAGATAAAACAGGGGTCCTGTGGAAAAAATAGTATGTGACCGTGTAATTAAAGACTGTTTCATAATGCATACACAGTGGGAGCAGAATTGAGGTTGCACGGGCAACCTTTAATTCTGGCATTTACTAACTTTTAAGTACATGTCTTTGCAACTTTAACATTCTTTTAACACAGGGTTTGGTTTTTGTTTGGTTTAGTTTTTGGTTTTGGTTTTATGTAACGTATCCTTGGGGGACTAGTATAAAGAACGAGAATTGTGAAGATGACCTCAAAAGAAGACTCGGTGTAGCTTCTACTACATTCAGAAAACTCTGGAAGATCTGGAAAGCTAAAGACATTTCAATAAAAGCAGAACCCCACGTATATGAGACAACTGTCATGCAGCTACTTCTGTCTAGCTCAGAATGCTAGAGTGTGAAGAAAGCCGATGACCGAAAGATTTTGACTGCAGAAATGAACTGGCTGAAAGGAATGCTGAAAGTTTCAAGGCTGCAGAAAATAAATAAAATGAAGAGATAAGAAAACAGGCAAGACATAATGCTGTTATAGGAGATTCAAGAAAGAGGTTTCAGAGTAGCAGCCGTGTTAGTCTGTATCCGCAAAAAGAAGAACAGGAGGACTTGTGGCACCTTAGAGACTAACAAATTTATTAGAGCATAAGCTTTCGTGGACTACAGCCCACTTCTTCGGATGCATCCGTTGCATCCAAAGAAGTGGGCTGTAGTCCACGAAAGCTTATGCTCTAATAAATTTGTTAGTCTCTAAGGTGCCACAAGTCCTCCTGTTCTTCTTTTTTCAAGAAAGAGGGACACATGTCAAGAGTGGACCCCTAAGGGGATACCCTAAATAGCGATGCATGCCAGAGTGCAAGGAACTAGAAATAGAGGAAGACTGAAGATGTGTTGGGTAAACATGGTGAAAAATGACATGGAACAAAAATGTTTAAAGATCAATGAAGCCATGAAGCTAGTACAAGATAGAAAGTGGTGGAAAAGCTTCATTTGTCACTGTTGCTGCCGAGCTGATGGATGGGGATCAAAGAGAAGAGGAGAAGATATCCTTCTTTTGTTCTTCCAGCTTATTTAAAATGCATCAGCTCTCAAATGGTCACGACAAGAAAGATTTTAAAGAATTCCAGCAAATGCGTTTAGCAGCATCTTTAAAAGTAACATTGACAACCAAGGAAATAAAATATATGAAGGCTACTTTAGCAAAGGGCGATGAATAAAAATACAGAACTTGTCCTTGTGCTCAACTTACAGGTGAGCCCTGGAAAAACCTAGAACCTGATTGAACACCTGTATACATGTATTCCTATAGACATGTATGAGAATCTTTCTATTAGACTTCAGTGGGCATTGGATCAGGCTGCTAGTGTGTAGATATAAAGCACAGTGGCTGCTTTGCTAAAATATGCACTTTGGTTCACCCCCATAGTTTGTAGCGGAGCTGACCCATAGGTGATAACTCTTGGAAACAGGCATTTTCCCCCCTCCGTGTTTATTTTAGATGAAATTGCATTCAACTACTCCCATGTCCTGTTCCAATTCTCGCCTCAGGCCATGTCTACTAAAAGCATCGCAAGTTGAAATATCAGGATGTCTAGCATATGCTCATTAGGGACACGAAATCCTGTCCTGGGGTGCTGACAAGCATAATATTATTAATGAAGAGATCTGTTGTGGAAATAGAAGCTTCTGAATTTTTCAGTGTTGAACATACGAAAAGGGAAATAAGACATTCCGAGACACATTGGAAACTTACAAGGCAAATAACAGCTTGAAGTAACAACATTCTCATTCTCCAAGGCTTTCATAAAGAATGTGCAGATTTCATTTGAATATCTGCTGCATTTGAAAATTGCTTTTATAATCTGAACGGCATTAAAAAGAAAAAAATAAACCTTTTATTTGACCTTTCTTAGCAAAACTTCTTTAACATCTAGCATTTATTTGAATCCTCATATTCAGATTGTGAGATAATTATTATAAAAGAAAGGCCAACTCTAATATTTTTCTTGGACAACTGTCTGGTACTAACTGTTGAAAACATTAGCAGTGCTGACCTTAAAATCCTGCATCAGCAGCATGTATTGGAAGATTTTCAATGATGGCCTTGAAGAGGGATAGCTCAGTGGTTTGAGCATTGGCCTGCTAAACCCAGGCTTGTGAGCTCAATCCTTGAGGGGGCCACTTGGGGATCTGGGGAAAAATCAGCACTTGGTCCTGCTAGTGAAGGCAGGGGGCTGGACTCAATGACCTTTCAAGGTCCCTTCCAGTTCTAGGAGATGGGATATCTCCATTAATTTCTAATTGTTGTGAGCACTGTTTTACACCCACAAATAATTTCCCATGCTCAACAATTTGTAAGTGTGAATGGTAGCACTTCGATAGCTAATTACCACGTACTTCAAACACCCATTGAAGTCAGTGGGAGCCTCTCCATTGACTTCAGTGTTCATTCATTTTGGCCTTTTACATAGATAGACTTGGGAGCCTAAATCTGGCTTAAAAAATTAAAGTGGTATTTATGGAGGCAAAATTATGCCTTGAAAATGAGAGGCTGGGTAGCGTCCTAGCTGGAAATGACACTCATAAAGTTTAAAGATCTGAGCAAAGAGAGATTTAGGGAAGTCGATTCCTGTTTCAAAGGAAGGTAGATTCAAGTGCACTGGGAAACTTTTTGTATGCAGCTGCAGGATCCATACAAATACTGTGGCAGGCTAGGTAGGGAACTTGCCACAAACTTAAATGTTCATCTAGATAAGCCCCAGGAATCATCTGGGAGTGCACAGAACTCACAGCATTCTAAACTATTCACTCCAGAGTAGGTGGTGGCCATGCACTGAATGGTGAAACAAGTTACATCGATGCCTTCAACTGCAGCTGTTTGGGGAAAAAAACAAGGGAAAAGAATTCAGAAAATTTGCAGCCACTTTTACTCATGCTGAGTAGTGCCTTACTCTGTGAATAGTCTAATTGGGACGCAGTGCAAGAGTGGCAGAATCTGGTCTTTTGTTCCTTTTTGTCCAAGTAATTCACAAAATATAACAAAATTAACAGCTGTAGTAGGGAAAGGGGTTGCGTGAATGTGCATCTATTCTTTCTTTGACAGTAGATCAGCCTTGTTGATTTCAATGGGGTTCTAATCAATTAACTTAGGGGAGAACATGCTCTAGTATTTTTTGATCACAACAAATGCTTGCTAAGGCACTTCTCTCACGAGCATATTGTATAATGCCCAGTGCTGAGAGCCATTGCTTCTTTTCTAAAAGTATTAAACAACCAACATACGATAAAACCGGATAACCAGGGCCCCAGTGAAAAAAATCGAAGAGTTCCTCAATAAACTCTACCAAAAATAATAACACAAAATAAAATACTACAAGTTGCCGAATTCATTTGGAATATGGAAACAGGGAGGAATTCTGCCTGTCACATGACTGAATAGGACCAGGCATCCTTGATCTCCATTTGTGCTTGTATTACGAAGGGCACTGTTTCAGCATCATTCAGTGGACAAAATGAAATACCAGTGTTGTACGTGGAAGGTGGGATTTTCCGAAGCATTTTGGGTAGAACTAGTCTTGCTCCCATTGAAAGCAAAGGCTAAACTGCCACTGTCTTGCATGTAGAGCTGGTCAGGAATTTTTCAGGAATTTTTTCCCCCTGAAAAATGCCAATTCATCAACATGGAAACTGTTTGCTAGAAACAGTTGGTTTCAACAAATTTTCCAACCTGAAAAAATGTTGAGACTTTTTTTGTTTTTTTGTTTGTGTTTTTTGCAATGAAAAGGTCTGGGTTTTTTGTTTCAAAATGACTTTTCATTTCAAAATGTATGCTAAAACCAGCATGAACCAAAGAAAAAATGTCAAAATTGGAACAAAAAAGTCTCAAAATTATGGGAATTTTTTTTTGTTAACCCTAGCTGAATTTTTTTCAGTTTGTCTCTTCACCAAAGTTTTTGAGATTTTGACTTTCCATCTCACTGGGAGGCAGGAAAAATGATCTAAACCACAACATTTTTCATGGGACAGAAAAACTGTTTCCAGCCCAGCTTCAGTTTAATGTAAGTAAAGTTAGGTCAATGTTGAGGGCTTTTCACAATCCCAGCTGGAAAGATGTCAGAGAGGGGACAGAACTAATGACCAGAAAGCGGATTATTTGCTAGCATCGCCAAACTCGGACACTCCCGGTAGTTCTCGCTGACTCTCCAACTCACGGACTAATGGAACACAGCTTGTTCTACCTAATGTTACCACACTGGGTCTCTCTAATCCTAACCATCCATGGAAGAGACTGCCCATTTTTCATCTCACTTTGTATCTTGAAACCATTACCATTGCCTCCAAAGAGGACTGCTTTGGAACAGAGTCAGCAGGTTAAGTTATCCCAGTGAAACATCTGCTGGGGGTGTAGGCGGGGAACACACAGGGCTGCCACAGCTCTGGAAAATATGAAGTCAACTTAGAGTTCAACTATGCCGTACTGACATTAAAGCTTGATTATGAGCCAAATTCCACCCTCCGACATGCGTGTGCAACTCCTGTTTACTTCAGTGGTAGCTGTGCTGTGCTTATCGAAGGGCACAGCTTGAGCTAAAGTATTTATCCATTGTGAGTCAGGGTCAAGAACAAACACCACACACCCGCATAGAATTTTAAAGCCACATTTTTAGCTCCTTTTTACAAGCCTGCCTGATGCTACACCCCCAGGCCTGAATTACAGACTGGGACACTGGGAAGCAGAAGACAAGGTGGTCCCTTTCTGCAGGAGGAATGTTCTCTGTGTTTGGGGCTCATGGGTTCCATCCCCCACCCTCTTCTGGTTTTTCGTTGTGTGGGGCTGTTTTCTCACCACAGGCTGCTGCTTTCTAGTTTGCTGCCTGGCTGTTGAGCACCACCAAAACCTCCAAGAATTAAGCACAGAGAGAGAGAGAGAGGCTAGACCCCCGCCCAAATCATGCCATTTATTGAGCATTTGTGTGTGAGGGGGTCTCTCTTCTGAGTTATTCACCTGAAGCATTCCCCTGGATTTGCAGAAGTGTTTCGTAATAATGATGGACATAATCATCATTAATAAGCACCTAGACGGGCATTACATCTTTAGAGCCCTTTCCAAGATGCTTCTATGAGAACGTTAAGGGTTCAGCGAGGGTGGACAGCTCTAAGCCCCTGCGGGCTGTGTTGATGGGGCCATTCCTCCACCCTGCACAGCTGGCAGAGCGGACCTTCCAATGTAGAGTGGAGGAGGAGCTGCAGCCCCTGCAAGGGTGTAGTAGCGTCTGTGTCACTGCACAACTCCTGGGGGCCTCGTGGCTGCACGAGGCTTGCACTGACTGGGGCAATGTGCCTCCAAGATACCCCCATCACAAGCTGTGATTCAGAGCCACTGACAGCGGTAAAGAATGAATTACTGCAATTCCATGGGGAAAGTGCATATACAAAAATGGGGCAAGCGGAAAGAAGGGGCTGAGGGCTCAGTCCTGCTTGAACGTTAAGCCCTACTGAATCTAATGGGACTGTACGGCCTGCGTAAAATTAAACATGTGCTTAAGTGCTTCGTTGGACCAACCCAAACTGCTTGGCACCTTGCAGGATTGAGGCGATGCTGCCGGACCCTGCTCATTGTCATACTCTGCAGAAGGACAGAGTGGCAAGTGTCTTTGGCAAAGAGAGCTGCTGTTCCTGATGGATTGGACAGGAAAATGGAAACAGTCCAGAGATGTATGGGGACGAGAAGGAACATTCCTTTGCCCCTTGTCACCCGAGATGTGTAAATCGTACCACACCAACAGCCAGGTAGAACCCTGCAGGTACGCTGGGAGAGGCGAGGGAATGGAACAAAGGAAGCGTCTTTCTCCACCCAATGTCCCCACTCAGTAGCTGAGCAGGATTCCAGCCTAGTGCTC